ACGTAATATATATATATATATATACATATATATATATATATATATAAATATTAATATGATATACTATGATATCATATACTATAAAATAATAGAATATCAAACAACAAATATAACATAACATAACATAACATACTATAGTATAATATAATATAATATAATATAATATGATATAATATAATAGTATAATATAGTACAACATAGCAGTATGTAACGTAACATAAATTAATATGATATACTATGATAGCATATACTGTAAAAAACATAATATCAATCAACAAATATAACATAACATAATATAATATAATATAATATAATATAGTATAATATAATATAATATAGTATAATATAATATAATATCATATCATGTAACGTAATATAATATAGCGTAATCTAATATAATATAATCTCTTGTCTGGAGGGTCTATGTATAAAAGTATTCGTAGCTGTAGAGATGTATAGTTGCGGGTAGGGATCCCAGCCCCGGCCCTCGCCCTTGGGCGCAGTCCCAGGCCCATGTCCATGCCGCCCGTTCCTAGGAAACAGGAGAAGCCAGGGCCAAAAAACAAAAAACAATGAAAACCAAAAAAAAAAGAAAAACACAATCTCCACCCGTATATAACAGGGACCCCCCAAAAAAGAGGGGTCTAAATTTAGAGACGTAGGGTATATAACAGGGACCCCGCAAAAAAAAAGGGACCCTAATCTTCCGAGAAGTATAGGGTAACACGGACCCCCCAAAAAAGAGGGATCCAAATTTAGAGAAGTATCCACACCGCAGACCCCTGACAGGAGCGGGTGACGTCCGGGGAGAAGCTCCTCCTTCATTGCATGGGAGGACGACGCAGAAGCCGCACCCCCTAAGCCCTCGTAGGTTTAGGGGTTAGGGTTTAGGGTTTAGGGGTTTAGGGTTTAGGGGAAATCAAAGGGGAAAAGGAGGGACCCTTAATGGGGACCCCTACCCTAGAATGGGCTATACAATGGGTATATAATAGCTATATTAAGGGTATATACCTAGGGGTCCTTATTAAGGGTCCCTCCTTTTGCCCTTGGAGGAAACCCCAAGCCCTGTAAAAACTCTCTTTGAACCGGCAGCCCTGAACGAACTTAGCTCCCTTCAAGTCCTACTTTGCTCAGGCAACATATGTTATGTAAGGAAACTCTAAACGGAGCCCGAAACAGATAGGGCTCTGGGGTTAAGATAAGGTGTAGCAAGGCCCGCTATTAAAACTTCCAGATGCAAGAGTTTAGGTTTCTGGGTATTCCACCGCGAAGAAGCATTAAGGTTCTTGAGCCTCTACCGAGCAGAAAGCCAACTAAGAGATTCGAAACCTTAACCCCAGCACCCTTACCCGGACCTGAACCCTAAAAATCGTACCATTTCTGTTCAAATAGTAAATTTTTCCGGGTCCAGGGAAGGGCTGCAAAGAATACAGCAGAATGCCAAACACGAGATCCTGAACCTAGACCCCTGAACGCTAAGTCCTAGATTAAGCCTGTAAACCCTGTAAGCCCTATAGACTCCAAGGCCCCAAAACTTAAAACCTTAAAACCCCAAAACCCTAAACCCTGAACCCTAACCTCTAAACCCTGAACCCCTAAACCCTCCCCTGTTTGCAGCGTCGTGAACCAGACCTAAACCCCTAAACCCCTAAAGTCCTAAACCCCTAAACCCTAAACCCCGAAACTCTAAACCCAAAGCCTTAAAACTCTGAAACCCTACCCAGAGGCTCCATAGTAGTTCCTTTTTGGGATTGCCTTATAGGATTCGGGTTCTATATACGAACACCAAAAAGGAACTACTTCGGAGCCTTAGGGTAAACCCTAGACCGAGTGTCCCGTAGGACGTGGGCGCAGCAACCTGGTTGCAGGCGCTGCACTTTAGGGTTTGCGGCCCGGGTGTCCCTTTTCAGCGATCCATAGGGATCCTTTAAGGGTTCCATTACAGCGATCTATATGGTTTAGGGCTTAGGGCAGGTTTAGGGTATTAGAGTTCAGGGCTTGGGCCGGAGTGTACTATAGAGGCTTAAATGAGTACTAATGCTATTTTGGAGGTTCCTTATATAAAGTATATAGTATAATGGGCCCCCAAACCCTGTTCTAATTATTAAGGACCCTATAGTTGCGTTTAGGATTCAGTGGCTTTTGGTATACGAGTTTGGGGTATAGCGCCAAGGGTTGGGTGTGTTTTTTTTAGGCGGAGTGTTGCGTTTTCGAATCAGGAGCCTCAACGAATGTATACCTCCACAAAGCCGTACGGCACCCCCAAGCATTAATCCCTGGGCCCTCGCTGTAGAGTTTAGGTTGGGCTTCGTGTCGTTTCCGTTTCGGTAGCTGCTATTCTGGAGCCCTATACTGCTTCTAGCACTCGCAGGAATCACTCACTGACACTGCTTTCAGATCTACATCCTCACAGGTTTGTATTCGCATGCATGTCTGTCTATTTGTTTGTCCGTCTGTCCGTTTGTCCTTCCGTCTGTCTATCTGTATGTATGTATGTATGTGTATATGTATATGTGTGTATATATACCCTAACAGTCCTAAGGCCGGGTTTAACGGGTGCGCCTAAGTAAAGCACGTCATTCACTAAATCCTCCTCTTTGGCGAGATACATGGGGTTCTACATTTGGGTCTTATTATTCTTCGGATTGAAAACCAAAATCCCGAAAGCCCCAGCAGAGAGCGGCAGCTGCAGCAATCCAGACGATCACGGGCCGGTGCGCCCGCCCCTTTTTTCAGAGCCTTCTTGCAGCACAGCGATTCAACTGCTTTAGTCGGTAGGGACGCCGTAGGGAGGCCAAACGAAATCGTTGGAACTTGCAAATGGACTTCTTGATTGATTTTTTGTCACATCGTTGTGCGACACCTCGGCAAGGAGTATCGATATTGTATCGCAAAGGATTTCGAAATGAGACGACAGTTCAGGCATGGCACATTTCAACCATCTCATCGCATCCTCCTCACGGAAGGTGTGCTGGTGTCTGGTGTTCATTCCTGCGATTCACAGCATTCAGCACATTCTGCCGAATTGGTAGCACTACAACACCAACAAGGGTTAACTTTGCCAAGAATCGTCGTTGTTTGACATCCCGCAACTGATGATGAAATGCCTGAGCCGGAGTTCGGTACCATAGGATGATATAGACCTGCAGACTGCTGCTCATTAATTGCAATCCAAGCTCATGTACCTTTGGGCGAATTTGCCAATGGAGCTTTTCGAGCCTGTCAGGGAATTGTCGCAATCGACAAAAGAACGAAGTAGGCAGATCAGTAAACCCCTTCGAGGCCTCATAGATATCTTGCAAAGAAGTGTATGGCAGCGGAGATATCGCATACCGTGATCGTAAATCTCGCTGGCCTTGTCCTCCGACCTCGAAGGAAAGTAATTATTGCGGCTATGGTTCTTAGCAGTTAAAACTCCTACCCACCAAAACGTGTAGCCACCAGCACCCGAGCGGCAGGTACAGTGGGCTGCATTCCACGGTGTGGAACCATTGGCACAGCGACTGCCTTGGAAGAGCCAGCTTTCGGGAATTTCGGGTCGGGTTTGCAACTCCAACTAGTTTATAGTGGTTTCAAGATAGATACTAAGTAGTTTGCAAGCGTCATTGCTACACATATGAGTGCGAATCGCTCATCATCATTGTCGGGCCAAGGACGCCCTTGTGTTTCATGCTGTTCGTGAAGCCATAGCCCACACGAGCGACCTTCGCTGATGCGGTGGTGAGTAGCCCTCTCCATGCAATCGTAAAGCCACATCGCGATCACTCGGCCATTGTAGCCCTTGTGCGACATGTGTGCCCCATGCTTGTCTGGCTTCCAAACCTTGACTAAGGATGTTGTGGAGGTTAAACAGGCAGCCCTGAATCCAAAGCGAGATATTTGTTCGTGCAGCCTAGTGACAAAATTCGGCACAAATTTGCCTTGCGAGCAGCTTATGCCCCGCTCCTTTTGGAATTTCTTGAAGTCTGCATAGGCGATCACCAAAAGCTTGTGCAATGAGTTGACAGCCGGGTTTGGATCTCCGAAGTAACCATTCTCAATAAGAAACATCCTCGACGAGAGTGTGTGCGTGTGTGTGTGTGCGTGTGTGTGTGTGTGCATGTGTGCGAAAGCACATATGTGACCTATATACGATAGCCCCCATATAGGATTAGCTTGCCTAAGATAGATACAACTTGATAAAAAAAACAATCCAGCCAAAAAACAAAGTAGATCCCGTGGCATCTTGTGCCACCCCGAGGTTGACATTGTGAAGGCTGCAATGACATAGCATCGTGAAGTCGAAGCATCGAAGCCCCAAGAAGGGACCTCCGGCATAGACTGAGTTTAGACAAGCCAACAGTTTTAAGTTGAGTAACGAGCAGCAAAGTAAGAACAGCATATGCTAAATAAGTGCAGGCAAAAGCACAAACGTGGTTTTCTTTCATACCATGCACCACGAAATGATTGTGTGAATGTTGCGTCTGTGCCCAGGATGGATTATCCGAAAGATCGCACATGGAGTGCCGGGCTCGGGCGTGATTTTCAGCATCGCATCGCCAGCAAATCCACCGAGTTTTCCACCAGCGACAGAGCCTCCAGGTGTGATAGTGGTACGCCCAATCCCCTTTGATTTGTGTAACGACATACTTGTTGCTCAACTTTCTTCCTTCAGGGGTCAAACCATCAAAGACGGCATTCAGAGATTGCACAATTGCGAGGTACAGGGGGTTATGGCTCTTCCAGCCCAAGCTGAGCTCGTTGTCAAGGCTCCATAGTAGCCACTGGCTCATCCTGGTCGATCTCGGCCGCCACAGAACCATACTCAAAAAGCAACCTGTGACTTTGCTTTGATCAAAGCCTGTGCCATATCTGGCGGTATCACCATACAACGTCAGAGGGATGTGGGATCCATCCAAATCAGGATGGCGAGCCCACGAACAAAAGGTTTTGCAATGGGACCAGTATTTCGCCAGAGCAGCATCAGGGATCTTTAAACCCAACTCATCCACCAAATAAGCTTATATGCGATGAGGCAGTAGCACGGGAATCTTCACAGTTGCTTCTTCTTCTGAATCATACTTTGCTTTGACAACCGTCGTCACGTAAGTGGGTTCCTGCCGATCGGGAGTTATATAGGAATATAGGAAATAAGAGTCGGGTGTATTGGGGTCTCCAGATTAAGGTTAGGATTGTTCCAGGTTTTAAGGCTCGGTGTATATTTGGCAACTTTAGCCAGGCACCACAGGAAGCCGAACTGCTCGTCTGAAATCGCGAGAATTGTTTTTCCCACTGAAGGAACCCAGCTTCTGCAGCGGTGCGGGCACGGCTCCAGCTGCGTCCTCGGCCACAGACCGGGACTTGTAGGGTTTTGGGAACTAGGAGCTTATATATCGTGACTTTTTTGTCAAAGGGACCCTGGCTTTGGTTTGTAGGCTGAGGGCTTAGAAAGTGTAGAGTTCTAGGATTCTAGGTTTCGGGTTTAGTAAGTTTACGATTTTAAATTGGGGTTTTAGTAACTGTAGGACGATGTTCTGGGCCTTGTGCAGCCGGGCTTCCGTAACAGACGATCTTGCACTCTTCATTTCGCGGTCAATGGAGCTGGCCTCGTGTTGTGTTCAGGGTTTTGTGCAATCCGTTACATCTTGGATATCGTACTGATCGGGGAATTCAGAATTTCTGGCTCGATATGGGATGGCATGCCTATCAAGTAGACAAGCAGCAGCAGCCGCAACATTATCGATCATGTCGTACACCAGTTCGGAGTGTCTGGATGTTGTCCTGGAGAAGACACCTGCGGGCGGGGTGGTCGTTTATATGTTGACATGCAAGCGAACAGTGCCTGCGAATACCCTGGCACGGCTTTCAGCTAATGATTTTCCCACCTCTTCCGGTCTGCACATCTAAAGCACACGGTGGGATTTCCCCGTCCCCTAGTGCACCAACAGCACAGGCCATCCTAATGGCAGGATCCCAGCCGACACGAGATGTTCCGGGTTTAAGGTTCGCTTAGGGTGTAGTGGTATTTAGATTGAGTACATATCAAACGGTTGGGGCACGTAGTGTAGAATCTTAGTAGGCTTGACATCCAATGCCGGCATAGCATCATCTACTCCACACAGCACGTGCACCCCACAGCGTCGGAATTAGCAACAACTGGACGGGCCCAAGACCTCTGAATATAATACCTACACTCAGTAGTGTAAGCTACCTATGCACCTGGGGCACTGTGTTCCGGATGAGCTTCCTACTTGTTCGTGAAACTCTTCTTCTTGCCGTATGCAAGCACTTGCTGCTGCATCTTGTTGATGAGCGTCTTGGCGGACTCGGTGCTCTGCAGCATGAGGGCCTCCTGTCGGGAAGTTTCGATATGTTGTAGTGCAGAACTCAAGCCTTAAGGATCCCACCATCGAATGAAAGACTCCTCGCCCCCATCCACAGCAGGCTGCAACTCTGCTCGCGAGGCGGACAGCTGGCTGATGCAATCGTTCAGATCTTTCCGGAGGGCGTTTCGGACATTCTTGCTCCTCGGCATGGAGCAGGAAGGGGACGATTAATCTGCAGCTAGATTATGGTCTTGTTAGCACACGTTTGCTTAGCCCGAAACATTCCGGCGGCTTCGGTAATCTTGGTGTTGGTGTCGCGGATGAGCTTGCTCAGATTGCCAATGACCTGGGAGACAAGTGTAAAACTTGGATTCACTTCGGGGTTTGCTTCGGTGGCCCGGGCCTTATTGGCCTCTTGCTTGACCTTCTTGATCCTTTCCTTCTCTTTGTCCTGCTCGGTCTCTTCCGCGTCCTTGCGGTTGCCCTTGTTCTTCTTGCCCTTCTTCTTCTTGGATTGCTTTTTGTTTTTCTTCGGGCGTTTGCCCTTGTCCTTCTTGTCCTTCTTGTCCTTTTTGTCTTTCGGGGCCTCAACAGAGCATTGCTTGATCAAGAGTGGAGCGAGTGACTCAACAGGGAGAGAGAGGAAACACACCGGTCCTTGCCACCCTTTTTGGACGGCTTGTCATCCTTGTCATCATCATCATCATCGCTGTCGTCGTCCGAGCTGTCGCTCTCCTCTGAGCCAGCGTCCTCCATGCGAAACATGTCAGTAACTTCGTCGATATCCTCGTCTGTGTGCTCTTCATCCACCAGCACCAGGTACTGAATCAGTCCTGCGAGGGAATTTGGTGTGAACACAAACATAAAATAACAGGTTCATGCACTGCACAGACACATCGGTAACACCCGTCGGTCCCGGGCAATCCGGATGCTCTCGGATTTCCGTCTTCGACAGGTAGTCGTCTGTCTCTTTGCGGACAATAATGGCAGTCACGATGGCTGTGTCCTGGAAGTGAGCTTCCAGCTGGCTGCGTGTGAGCCATCGCCGGATGCCCCGGCGCCCGTTGCGATTGGTGCTTTTGATGCATTTGTACACCATGCTGCTTCTCCAGTTCCCGGCACTCGAGAGGAAGTCTTCGTACAAAGACGACATCTTGTGTTTGCCTGACATGCAAGGCATTGCTTCCCTTGTGTCGCGTATGCATACATGAAATTGAAACATGCACCGATCACTTGCAAACAAGTTGCAATACTTCGACTTCTCGAAAGCAGACTTGATCTCTGTCGGCGTGCAGCGACCTATGTTTCAATCATGCTAAATTGACCAACAACATTCAAACATGGACCAAGAGAAGGAGGATGGGAGGGAGAAAGAGAGAGAGAGAGAGAGAGAGAGAGAGAGAGAGAGAGAGAGAGAGAGAGAGATATTACATATAGCACAAGATGGATAGAGTGACTCAGTGTCAACAAGAACTGAGAACCTGAGACCGAGACTGTGCACACTTCGGTAGAATCGCATGTAGAGCTTGTGGGCTGTCTTTCTCTTATCAACCGGCTCCTCCTGCTCCTCCTGCTTCTCGTTGGACTGGCCGGCCTTTGACTTTGCTGGGGATGTCTTCTTTGGGGATGTACCACTCCCCTCCTGGGCCCGGCGTTTCTTCGGGTTTGGGGACCGGGCGGGAGCGGGGTCTTGGCTGGACCGGGCTGTGCTGCTGTGCTCACCTTCCTCATCCGAACGGGTTTGGGTCGGTGTGGCTGCTTGGGCTTGGTTTTTCCCCTTGGGCTGCTTGGATTTAGCCTTAGCTTTTGCTGCACACTTGGCTGTTGCTGCTGCTTTCTCCTTCGGCTTGGCTGAGGGTTTTGAGCTCGGCTTGGTGGTAGGCTTCGTGGCTGCGGGCTCGTTATCCTTCTGGGTTTCATCCTCATCATTGAAAGCTGCCTCGAGCTTCTTTTGGGCGGCTTCAGCATCAGCCTTCCGTTCTGGGGTTGACTTCGCATCCACCGTCTGTTGCCTGTTGAGGGCAGCCTTCACCTTCTTCTGTGTGTTGTCCGACAAGTCAGAGGAGGCGGCTCGCTTGTGTTTCGGCGGGGGTGTCTCCACAACTGTCTGCATTGAGTCGGTACGAAGTGGTTTCTTCCCAGCCTTGCCTTTCTGGAATGCCGTTCTGCCCGTCGGAGATTTGGTACTTCCTGAAAGGGACTCTTCCTTTCCTGAGGTGGACTCTTCCTTTCCTGAGGGAGACTCTTCCTTTCCTGAGGGAGACTTTTCCTTTCCAGCGGGAGACTTCTTTCCGGCGGTCTTTTTCATTCCTTTGGGAAGCTTAGGAGAAACCGTCGCACCAGGGAGCTCATCCTCAAGATTCGGCCACGGGTTCTGGGCATCCTCCTTGGAGCTGTCGTAGGACCTGAGCATAATATATTGTCGACTCATATCGTACAGACTGCACAAAGATGCTGCATGGTTTCTTAAAGGCAACAGTAGCAGAGGACCCCGCCACTGCCTCGATGGTCCCGACGTTCCGGACGTTCTCTTCTCTACACGGCTCTGCCTTTCACGGGCCTTCTTCAAAATCGTCTCGACATCGATATGGGCCGTCATCGGCCCGAACACAGCTAGCAGCTAGATCCTACAAGTAGCAAGAAAGACCTGTCGTGCCAAATCAGAGACCATGTTGCGGCAATCAAAGTCATGACAGAGCAAAGCGAAGCGTAAAGCACTCTGTTGGGGATCTCTTTGTGCTGCTGTGGTTTTGCTTGATTTTTGGGGGTGCAAAGTTTCACAGTTTCTCGGGTGCTTATTACGGTTTTCACGGTGCTTTTCACGCTGTTTTCACGCTGTTCTCACGCTGTTCTCACGGGCATCGGTTTGCATGGGTTTTGATAAGACAGCTGAAGATTTTTTTGCTGCGTGAAAGCCCAAGTTTTAAGGTATGGTGGTCTGCACAGAGCCGCCAGTCATCACCTTCCCGGCCACTCGGCTCATATTAGACGACGACAATTACCTAGCCTCTGTGCGGCTGCAACGGGAACTGCTTGAAACAGCTAAGACTTCTCAAGGCGGCCACATCAAGGAAAGGCGAATGCTGGCACATATCGGCCGTCCTCAATCTCCCTTAAGAGATAATGAAACACCGGGCCGAGATTAGCATGCCTCCATTCGAAAGGAGGTCTCACAATCGGAAGTCGCGATATCGTAGCCTCACAGGCAAGCGGACCCGCCCACCCGCCTATATACCCGCCCGCCCACAGAAACACATCGTATATATACATGCACACAAATACATGCCTATCGTAACACACATGCCTTCATGTCACACACACACACACACCTCTGATTGACTCTATCAGGAACAGAGCTGGAACCCGGCCTTGGCGAGGTTTGTCACAGCCTGGAAGGCGTAGTCCTGGTCGCTGTCCTGGGCATGCGTAGACTTGTGGTCTATTCGAGAATCATTTAATTGTTTGCATACAATCGAAATACTCCGAGCAAGAAGCCATCATCTCCATATGACGGGAAGCAACTGCTCGCCCAAATGCAGCAGAACTTAGTTGATTCACTGCAAAAGATGGCTAGCACAGAACAGAAGCATGCAAGATGTTGGCCCATGCATACGAACTCAGACACCGACACTCTCTCTCTCTCTCTCTCTCTCTCTCTCTCTCTCTCTCTCTCTCCCTCGTTCTCTCTCTCTCTCTCGCTCTCTCTCTCTCGCTCTCTCGCTCTCCAGGAAGGCAGGAAGGGTCTGAGTTCGAAACACCGACAAATTTCCTAGGATCACCCCTGTGCCCCGCCTCTCTCTCTCTCTCTCTCTCTCTCTCTCTCTCTCTCTCTCTCTCTCTCTCTCTCTCTCTCTCTCTCTCTCTCTCTCTCCTCTCTCCTCTCTCTCTCTCTCTCTCTCTCTCTCTCTCTCTCTCTCTCTCTCTCTCTCTCTCTCTCTCTCTCTCTCTCTCTCTCTCTCTCTCTCTCTCTATCTCTAACACTTTCCCGAAACCGCTGAAATCATCTCTCTGTTCGCCGCATGTCTTCGTTGAAATACGTCCTTTCCCGAAATGCACTGAGGGCGGCTCGCGGCTTCCTTGTTGGAGAGCCCCTGGTATGAAGAGCGAAGTTCTTTCTTCTGGGCTTTCGTGGGTCGCTGCATCCGAGGCAACCATGGCCTCAGAATAGCTGCATATGCTCTATCTTAAGAGGAGTACTCAAAGGTGCTTCAAGTATGAGCTCCAGACGGAGTGCCAATCAGGGTCGTGGGCTTCGGGGATCTTGCCATCCAACTTAGTTACTCGCAGTCAGGGTTCCGTGTTCCTAGTGCAATATTGCAATGAGCAAAAGGCAGCCTCAGCATCTGACAATCGGCAAACATGTATCTGAATGAAGCGACCATAAGACTCCTTCAAGAAGGTCATGTAGGGGAACTCCGAAAAGTAGGAAGTCGGAGGTTTGATCCACCAATGTACACACCGCATAGATGCGAGGATGCAAAGAAGAAGCGTCCGGCTCGCATACCTTGGCTTGGCTTTAGTGTAGGGTTTAAGGAGTTTAGGGCTTGTTGGGATTTAAGGTTTAGGGCATATTTTATAATATTGTTGAAGGATAGGTTGCACCAGTGTCAAGCATTCTGGTCCGGGTATATAATGTAATATATATTTAGGGCTTAAGGGGTTTAGGGTTTGTTGGTGTTTAAGGTTGAGGGCTAATGTTCTTTCTTCAGAGTTTGCACCAGTGTCAAGCATTTTGGCCTGGATACAGAACAGAGTTAGCAAGCCTCCAAAATTCCCAGGCCCCAAAACCCTCTAAGATAATCTACAATCAAGGGGCTCGTGGGCTCTCTTAGTGTAAGCATACTTCGGTGTCCCAAAGATACGATACGGCCGTCTCTCCGAGGTGGATGCGTTCACGAACACCGAGCTCTTGCACGGAAGGCCACAGCAAAGGAGGCCGGATGGTTTGATCCGTAGGATCTTGTGCATCGCTCGGAGCAGCCCGAGCCTGAAACCCAAGCCCGGCACCCTTTCTCTGGAATCTTAAGACTGCAAACTTCCAGCCAGATTGTAAGTGGCCGGCGTAGTCAAGAGATCGTCATCTCCCCGCTGGGCCACGTCGAAGAAGTCCCTGGATAATCTTTGGGTTCTACAATTCTAGAAGTCTTCTTTGAATTTAAACCATTCTAGCATTCTAGCTGAGACCCTTGCGATTTCTGGCCCGCAGCATCTTAGCGAAGCAGGGCAGCCATGTTTGTTACAGTCCCATACTATGTTTGTATCTTGTAGCATACTATCAGCTAGGGGCGAGGCTGAAAGCACATTCTACGGCACGTTTTCCGGTCTGGAGATCCAGACACACCAGATCCTAGGATTCGCAGGATGATGTACAAATCAGATATACAGCTCAACACCGAGGCTCGGACACGAAGTAGGTTTTGCCCTTGTGCATTTTGGGCGATATAGTCCGCGAGGTGTAGCCTAATGCAAGCGAACTCCTAGCGTTTCGGGATGGTTGGATTCATTGATTATTAACCGAGTAACAGGATGGAGGGGAAGCCAGTATAAGCCAGTGCCAGCAAACAGTCGCGTGAAAGGGCCAAGTCATTCAACATCCATTCATGCATGCCGCTAAAGGCCCAGCTCAGAAGCCGGGCACGGATATGTAGCTTAAATCAGCTCGAACCAGTAGATCTCGGGTAACCCAAGGCTCAAGTCGCTGCTTCGACTGTGTGTAAAAGACACAAGACCGCAACACCACGAAAGATGCAGCTATTTGGATCTCGTGTGCACAGCGTGCTTGTCCACACACACACACACACAAGTCGCGAAAGCTTCCGGAACAAAAACTAACCGGTGAGACCGAAGCATCCTTCGCATCACCAATCGGCCGCTTGGCAAGCGGCTTCCCACCTAGGCAGGTAGTTGAACCAATCCCGGATGAAAGCCTGCAGTGGATGTAACATGCCAGGCACCAGGCGCTTCGATCAGCGACTCGAACTTGGTCCAGCCGAGGCTTGCACCGCCCTTCTTGTTGACCTCGCTATTTACTGTGCACCGGGGGTACAGGGTCTAGTCTTTGGACGGGTAGTTGGGTTCCGTGCTTCGAAGTCAAGCCCGTACTTCCCGTTCACGGCATCCAAGCGTTGCTCATCCGCTTTGTTAATGTAGAAACACCCAGAATAGGGGCTGAACCTGGTCAATGTAGCGGGAATCCAACAAACTATCTCGGCACAACTGCGGCTTGATTGAGGCATGGGCACTGCTCCGATCTTGGATTTGTTGCTGTCCAGGGTGATTGTCCATGACCTGGGAGAGAGTACGGGATTGTTTGGGACGGGACAGGATTACTTCAGCACTTGGGCTCTCACTTCTTGTCATTGTCAGAAGACAGCACCGTGTGATCCAAAACCAATCGCGGATCCTTTCGATGAGCTGCCTCAAAGCGGGGCCTCCAAAGGTCTTTCACCTCCAGTGCATTTCTGGTTTGATAGCAACGGACAAACCAAATCACTTGGCTGTTCTTTCCCCTCCCCACCTGGCGGAGACGGCCTCCTTGCACTCTTTGCTCTGGCGGCTCAGGGCTCCTTTCGGGGGGCTGCTCGGTTTCCTGTCCTTCCTCGGCCTCTTCATTTGCCTCCTCCTCCTCCTCGTCCTTTTCCTGATCATCACTTTCCTCCCGGACACCCTTGACCTTCTTGGCGGGCTTTTCATTGGCCTTGCGGGCAGCTGGTCGTTTCAAAACCTGTTTTGGATCGGCTTCCTCTCCTTCCGAAGGCTCTTCATCTGCCTCCTCCTGCTCGTCCTCTCCCTGGTCATCCATTTCTTTTTCCTTGGCCTGCTCTCGGGCAGCTGGTCGCTGCAAAACCTTTTTTCCCTTTCCTTTTCCTTTGCCTCGACCCCGCCCTCTGCCTTTTGCCTTCTTCTCGGGAACTGAGTCGGGAGACCGCGGCTCCTCGGATCCTTCCTCCCCTTCCTTTCCTTCCCCTCCTTCCTTTGCTCGCTTCTTCAGTGCTTTCCTTGTTTTGGCTTGGGCCTAGCAGTCGAGTATGAGTACTACTTCTAAACTTCTAAACCGACGTATACAGTGATCTCCAACACAAGGCTTTGTGCTATTATTCGACATTGGCTTTAAGGAAGCTTTGGGGCACTCAAAGCAGCCTCCAGGGCAAGGTTTGGATCATCCTTCTCGGCTTCAGACAACAACTTCTCGGCTTTGGCAGTCACAGACTTCGGAAGCTTCGCAGGAGGGATCTTCGGTGCTTTTTCATCCTTGCAACCAGTAGTTGAAGCTGCCATATAAACAATGCAAGAACTGTAACAAGCGAGCTGAATGCAAAGCCGAATGTCCTTGAAGGTTCCTTTGGTGCCATCTTTTTCGGTTTCACTCTCCAACTCATCACCCAAACATTCATCGTCTTCCCCAGCCTCTTCCTCGCCGGCTTCGGCCCCGTCTTCCGTGCCACAGGCGTCTGCGGCGTCTTCCTGGGAGCGACAGCAGCAGAAGCAGCAGCAGCAGCTGGCAGCAGCACCACATAGCATCGGTTACCCTGGTTTGAGATGCTTCAAAATCCCGGACCATTCTAACTATGTTGGAGATTTGTTATTTTGGTGTTTATAAGACGATATATTCGATAAGTTGAATTGAGGAATCTCGACTTATCTCGGTCAAAGTAGGGTTAGAGTTTAAGGTTCGGGGGGCCATCCTATAAAGCCGAAATCCGAAAGGCTTGAAGCTTATATTCATGCTTTCTTAACCTAAGTGTTCCAGACCGTAAATATCTCGAAACCCACAGAATCTGGTCCCGATAACCGGCGTCCGAACACAACCGATATGCTGCAGTTAAGACTTAGGTAATATTGCTGATGCACCGAAACTTACCCTGACCAGAATCCTTCGTCTTCAGCTTCAGCCCCATAAAATCCCAGGGAGTACAAGCATAAGCCCTCCGAGAGACAGCTATCTAGGTTTAACCCAAACCCGTATATTGGCGCTAAACTCAGGATCCCAAAGACCCCCCCCAACCAATCCACCCCCGCCGGCTTGTCATTGCCGGCTGCCTTCATCATCCTCGCGTCCTGCACAAAACGTACGGTGGGTGGGTGCTAATTAAGCCAAATGATTTTCGCTTAAGAAAGATGGGCTCCTTCTTTCGGGCTTGGATGACCTGCTTAAGGATCGCCAGCTTCTCGTGCGAAGTGCCCTTCCTGTGAGACTAGCTCAATCTGGAACACACACACACACACACACACACGAAGGGCAAACACAATCTGTTCAAAGTGGCCTTGTCTCCTTGTTGCGGCGACTGCGAGCACATGCCCAGGAGGCGAACGATCTTATCAAAGCAGCTTCTTCCACTGCCCAGTCCTGGATCATTCAGGAGGAAGCGAAGAATAAAACACGATCCACATTCCAGAATCGGTCGCCTCCTTGTCTGCCTTGTCCAAGCCCTGGTTCAGCCTGAAGTGCTGTCCCGCCCATGAGACTGCTGCCTGCAATCGAAAGGTTGCTGACGAAACGGAGTGTTATGGCATGCTAACGAACACGGCCTCCACTTCCTTTTTGGTTGGCAGGTCATCCGCGAACGAGCCGCAGTAAGAGACCACAATGTTGAAATTGAAGTCAGAACAAACCTGCCCAAGGTTGACCAAATCCTTTCTCCGAAAGTGAATGATAGGATTCCCACCTGCTCCTCCGAAATCGCGGTGCTCGTGACGTCGAGGAAGCGGTAGCGAAACTTCTGGTCCTCCTGTGCCAAAGCTTGAATTTACAACATATACTGCTTTGTTGGTTTGATCAGGACCCGCACCTCCGAGTTTTTGTTCTTCTTGAAGATCGCTTTCTTGAGGCTTTCTATCCTTTGGTTCACGTATCCCGGCTTCAAAAGGTCTTCGAGCCACTCCTTCAACAGCTCTACTTTCATCATATTGGGTTTCGAATCTGGCATTTTGCCAGACTTGCCAACGAAAGGCCCCAACTCTTGAGAGCAAAATCTCGCGGGAATCTCTGAAGAACACGGTAGCAAAAGCATGCAGGGAGGAGCTTTGGAGCCTTCGGAATCTCCCTGTTCAGCAAGACCTGGGCAGAGAAGGAAAGCGGGAAGGACAAATCCCAAAATCGCAATTCCCAAATTGGAAAGATCGGGGCCACACGGCTCCGAAGGGCTTTGCTGCATCGAACCAGCGGCATGCCAGGTCCTGAGATGCACACCAGGCAAATCGCCCAGAGGAAAGGAGCGAGCATGAGCCACCGAGCCACGACAAATCTTGTTCAGTATTTGTGGGTTTTGATCCCTGGGTGCCGTGGCCCCCGAAGCACACCACTGTGTTTTGCTTATGCTTCCGTGGTTTTGCTTTTGCCGGACATTGCGTGACCTGCATGAAACTTTGATCCACGGCGAACAGCAAGCGACAGCACATCCAATATCATACAAATCATCAAAGCACTCGTTTAACGGGTGCGTTTGAAGAGACCCAGTTTCCGGGGTCCGCGGAAGGCCAGGGTATATATATGTATATATATGTTTGTGTATATACCCATTTACATATATATATATATATATATATATATATATATACGCATGCATGTACTCATGTATGTATCTATCCCTGTCGATAGACAAACAATGTATGTAATTGTATGCATGCACGCATGTATGTATGCATGTATGTACGGATGTATGTACGTATGCATGGATGTACGAATGCATTGCCGCATCACGTCTGCATGCTTGTCTAGCCACTTATGCATAGTCAATCATCTTTGATGTGTTTGCTCTTGTTTGTTGGTGTTTCTTCTGATCTTGTAGTCATGTACGTTCCGCTCGCTCGTTCTTTACTTCTTCATTTGTTTGTTCATCTATGATATGCTTTTCAATGTATTAATCAGTTTTCAAATTATTCATGCTGTAATGCTGTATGCACCGTATCTGCTTTGTGCATTTGTTTTTTTGTGCAGGCATGGCCTGCATGGCTGGCAAGCTGGCTTGTTGGGTGGATGAATGGTGATGGATGGAAGTATGGATCTGTGTTGCTTTGCTATCATTAGTATTACGTGTGAAACACATGAAAATGTGCAACTGTGAGAAGTATGTCTGTTTTTTTACAGTGCGAGGTTTAACAAGATTAGGAAACACAACAACAGCAGTTTACGCATTTAGTTCATAGCTACTTCACGAACAGTCACAATCGTGAACGTTTCAGACAATTCTCACATCCCCTGCTCGACGTGGTATATTTCGTGCTTTTTCGTAAACATTTTCAGATTTTCCCATTAAGGCCAGATGTGAGCACTTCATGCCTCTTCAATCTTTTCACAGTGGAGAAGATGCTTCTAGCCCTTAACCCAAAACCGCTACAAACTTCAATGTCTTAAACTCTAAACACAAATTCAACACCCAAAGTCGTGAGCGCATTAGACCGGCCAGCCAGGCTGCTTGCTCGCACAGATGTACGGCCTGCCGGCCGAAGAGGCTTCCGATGCCTGCAGTTCACACAAAGTCCCACAATGAGAGAACAAACCTGAAAGCATCTTAGGGATCCTGCTGTGATTTAAGGTCTTCTTCTTATGTTGGAAGGTTTGCATATCTAGCCTTGGTGCAGACCGCTGAGTAATGCTCTCCTCTTTAGAGGGGCTATAGTGGGCATATGAGGATTAGTGCCCGAGAGAAAACGGCGGCTTGTTGGCGGGGGCCTGTGGTACTTTTCATGGCGAATCTGAGATTAGAGTTTCTTGACGATCGTGAACGGCACTGCTTGGCCTATCGCCTAGGTTACCTGGACCATGAAATGTAGTACCTTTTGTTGCATGGCTATTTCGGCTATTTATCTGGTCAGGAACCAAAAAAAGGTAATTAGCACACTTACGGGTCTAGGTAGGGTTTAGTGTGCAGAGGTTCAGGGGCACTTACGATTCCAGATATGTCGGTGCAGCAGCTGCCCCACCTAGCCTTCCGCAGACTGCGCAGTTGCTCAAACCATCAAACCACGATGCCGAAAGCATGTAGCACAGAAGCCTGACCAAGTAGCACTCATGGTCCTTGGCATACTTGTCGCTTACAAAATCTCTCGCAAACAGCTTGTTTGAGTAATTAGGCCCTGATATTCTCAGCCTTATAGCATCTATAAGCCATAAAAACCTAAATCCTAACACCAGAAAACCCAAGACGCTAAACCCTCATTTGGACTCTGATTTTCTCGGAGGCGGCTGCAATTCTGCAGTTTGCATACGACTCAAGGCCGGGATTCCGATGGTTTTCGTTTGGGGTCTTGGGGGCTTAGTTAAAGAGCTCCTAAAAAGGGTTCCTTAAAGGGATCTATAGGGTTCCTTAAAGGGATCTATGGGGATTAGGGTTTAGGGTCTACTTGGAGGATCGCTTACAGGGTAAAGGGGTCAGGGTATTAGAGTTTAGGGTTTTAGGGCTTAATCCCTACTATAAGGGTCCATGTACCCAAATAGTATACTTGGAGGATCATAGGACTTAGTAAGTTAGGTTACAAGTACCTTAATTGGGGATATAAGTAATTAAAATAAGTATAGTTAGCTTAATTGTAACCTAGTTACTAAGTCCCATGATCCTTCAAGTAGGGTAAGGGGGTCAGGGGAATAGAGTTTAGGTTTTAGGGCTTAGTCCGTAAGGATCCATGTACCCAAATGGTATATACTTTGGCCCCCCATGTACCTATATAGAGACTACTTTACGGCCAAAGTACATATTACTTGGGTACATGGACCCTTAGGGGAGAAGGGTCGTTCCAAAGTACCGAGAAGCTTTGCTACATCCGGCTGATTGATCGCTACAGAACGTGAGGAGCTTTGAGACCAAGACGTCCCTATGCCTTACTCCATGAACCATAAACTAGACACGGATACATCGCAACCTCCAAGCCAGCGAGAGTCTAGCTTCTTCTGGACCCAGTGCCTCACTACACAAGCCCGATGGCATCAACGTTCGTACGACCAGGGACTACGACAACTGCGTTGTTCCTGAGACTCAGCGGCAACGTGCAACGCCACGCGGCTGCAGCTAGGCCCCCTACGTGCTCCCATCCTTCGGGTCAGGGTTTAGGGTTTAGGGGTCAGGGTTCTAGGATGCCCAGTAGTACCCTTATTCCCTTCTTGTAGTCCTAGGTTCCTTATAAAGTTACCCAATACCAAAAAGAGAGGCCTTTTTATTCTTAGGTTACTGCGTATCCTAGGGTTCACATACGTGGGTTTGCAACGACACCAGCAGAAACCTGCCTAAGATAAGGGCCGGAGAATCAGACCAGGAGACCAGGGGGGGTATTATTGTACCACAGTCGCAAGAAAGCGCCAAAAGGAGTAGTACTACTAGTAATCCTTAACGAAAAATCCCTGTATTACTATGACTACTGACATTGATACTTCTATTCCTTATAAATAGTACCCTAAACCCTAGACCCCTAAACTCCCAATACATAGCAAGATCCTTGAGCCTTGAGCCTTTCTCAGGGTAAAAGGAGGGACCCTTAATAAGGACCCCTAGGTATATACCCTTAGTATAGCTATTATATACCGATTATATAGCCCACAATCCGAGCATCTGAATAAAAAAAGGTCTCACATTTAAAGATTTGTTTTCGGTTCCGGAGTGGCTCCGAAGAGGCGTTTCCATTACGTGAGGATCCGGGTGGATTTCGCTTGGGGAAAATACCCCACATTTAAAGAACAAAAATCGGCCCGAAATTTTTGTAGGGTGCAAAGCTCTGCACTGGCTCTTCATTTCTGCAGTCTTTGCCATTGTTTGCTTGCTCCTTTAATACACAAGCAAAGCTTCTGTGGGAACCGGCCCTTTGCCTTTGAGCAAAGGCTGCCCTCCGAGGCCAAGCTTTTTGCAAAAGTTGAGGGATCTCAGAAAGCTAGCTTTCCTTATTGATTCGCTTATCCGGGGAAGCAATTTTTCATTCTCTCCTGAGCTACCCCTTACGGGGCCTGCCCGGAAAAACATCGATTCACATTTCTAAAAAGGAACGCATTTGTAGGAAGCCGGCCGGTCCCGGCCCAGCTGTGCCTGCAGTCTTTGCCATTGCTTGCTTGCTTCTTTAATACACAAGCAAAGCTTCTGTGGGAGCCGGCCCTTTGCCTTTGAGCAGAGGCTGCCCTCCGAGGCCAAGCTTTTTGCAAAAGTTGAGGGATCTCAGAAAGCTAGCTTTCCTTATTGATTCGCTTATCCGGGGAAGCAATTTTTCATTCTCTCCTGAGCTACCCCTTACGGGGCCTGCCCGGAAAAACATCGATTCACATTTCTAAAAAGGAACGCATTTGTAGGAAGCCGGCCGGTCCCGGCCCAGCTGTGCCTGCAGTCTTTGCCATTGCTTGCTTGCTTCTTTAATACACAAGCAAAGCTTCTGTGGGAGCCGGCCCTTTGCCTTTGAGCAGAGGCTGCCCTCCGAGGCCAAGCTTTTTGCAAAAGTTGAGGGATCTCAGAAAGCTAGCTTTCTTTATTGATTCGCTTATGCGGGGAAGCAATTTTTCATTCTCTCCTGAGCTACCCCTTACGGGGCCTGCCCGGAAAAACATCGACTCACATTTATAAAAGGGGTCACATTTGTAGGAAGCCGGCCGGTCCCGGCCAGCTGTGCTTGCAGTCGTTACCATTGCTTGCTTGCTTCTGTAATACACAAGCAAAGCTCCATGCATCCAGCCTTTTTGAATGGCTTTCTAATAGAGATTCAATACATTGCTATGGTTTTTAATAGAGCCCAAAGAGCCCCAGTGGAGGTTTTCTCCATGCATCCAGCTTTTTTGAATGGCTTTCTAATAGAGATTCAATACATTGCTATGTTTTTTAATGGAGCCCAAAGAGCCCCAGCAACCCAGGGATGATTTTCCATTAATGCGGGTCGCGCAAATTTAATTCTGTTACTTTTTTTTGGGAGGGGGGGCCCCCCTACTATTTAGATCCTC